GAGATACAACAGGTAACACAGACTGTAAATATGCACAAGCTGAACCTGATTAGACACAAGAGAGACAGACCAAAGTAAAACAGGACAATCACAAACTCAGGGACACGAACAGAGCACCAGGGGAGGACACAGGATACCAAAATCAGAATAAACTAGAACATAAAAGAATAATACTAAACACAAAACGCTGGGGCAAACGACCCAGGACCATGACAATGTGATTCAGAGACGGGAGAAAGTGTTGTGGGAACATGAAACCAAAACAGACCTCGTTGGCATCATCGTGTTCAGAGGAACAGAAATGCACCACCCCCACAGTAAAGCATGGAGGTGGAAACATCATGCTTTGAGACTGTTTCTCTGTTAAGGACACAGGACAACTTCATGCTGCCCTGTAGGGGATAAGAGATGGGACTTGTGTATCGTAAAACCACGGTCCCTTAGCCAGAACACTGAAGATGGGCCTTGAATGGTTCTTCCAGCTTAGCAGTGATCTAGAAATATTTCCGAGTGGTCAAAGAAGAAGCACATTAAGGTCATGAAGTGGCTCCAGACTCTCCAGATCTCAGTCCTGCAGAAAATTGTAGAGGGAAGCTTTGAGTTTAAGTCATGTGCTCGCTCGAAGGGGCTCGTGTGTTGGGGGTTTTCTTTGTAGCACTGTGGGCTCTTTACATTACAACATAAAGCACCTTGAGGCAACTGTTGCTGTGATTTGGTGCTGTATAAATAAAACTATTGAATTGAAGTTGCCAAGAAACCTAAAGGATTAAGATTTTCTGTAAAGTGGAACAAAATCCCTCCTGAGATGTGTGCAAACCTGTGCTTGCCAATAAGAGTTGTTTGTGTTGTTAGTGTTGTTTTGCATGTCACTGAGTGAAATAATACTTATTTCACTCAATGACATGCAAATCAATTTTAACATAATGCACTTTTTCTGGATTTTTGGTTGACATTCTCTCTCCATTTAAAGGAAACTACTTTAAAATTTAGAGACTGTTCATTTCTTTGGAAGTGAGCAAAGATCTCTCTGTAAGCCGTCTACCTCACCATGTAAAGCACCTTGAAGCGAGTGTTGACATAAATTAATTAATAAATGAACTTTTGGTTAAATTTAGGCTTCAGAGTATATTTTATTCGTTTCTAATTTCAAGTAAAAATCTTCAAACTGACCCAGCATCAGTTTCAGGGCCCGATCTTTAGTCAAGTTTCACTTTTACGGAAGCGGTTTGGCTACAGACAAGTGTCAGCAGCCAACAGACGGAGATTATTGATACACTGTAAAAAAAAAAAAAAAAAATTAAATTAAATAAAAAATAAAAATAATTGTCGTTTCTTAAGCACCTTACTGTCCTGTGAGTAAATACTCTCAGTGGGAGCTAACCACAGCTCAGTGGCTCCTGTCTCAGCCCTCCTCCACAGCTGCACCAATCAGAATCCTGTCCGCTCCTTTCAGTCACCTCCCCCTCCCTCGCTGCTGTTCCTCTTCAACGGTCCTCCTCTCCGGTGGTCCTTCGGTGTGGAGAGTCAGCATCAGTCACTCACGGACCTACAGCGCGCTGCAACACCGAGGACGCACAGAGGAACATGTTGCTGCACAAACAGGTAAGATCCACGTGCACGAGTTTTAACTGCAGCTGACTTCCGAAAAATCCGCATGTTTTGTGCGTAAATCCCCGTGCAGTGCCGCGTTAGACCGCGTGTTTCTTGGTAGTTTGCGTTATTCTGCGTGGAACCTCTACACCCCCCTGTCCTCCCTGCTGACGAGCATTTGCAGAACAATTGTGGATTCTTCTGTCATTTCCGAAACGTCACAGATCTGTCAAACTATCAGGCGATTGTGATGCAGCTGAGGGGTGGTCTCTCCACACAGCACCCCCGCGGTGTTCGCAGGTCACGGGGGGAACCTGCAGTTTGTGTTACACCAGCTCAAATAAAGCTTTCATGCATCACAAACCTCTGAAGCTCGTTTATGAGCAGCCAGTGCAAACACGTCAGTCAATGGTGAAAACGGGGTTTGCAAATGAAAAGTGCTT